GAAGAAGAAGAAAAAAAGAGGAGAAGAAAGAATAGAGGAGTAAAGAACTCCTCTATTCTTTCTTCTCCTCTTTTTTTTCTTCTTCTTCCTCTTTTTTTATCGGGAACGAGGGTCCTCGAGCGACATAGATGTAGTGTCGTCGTTGTCGATATATACCCCCTCCCGATAGCTTACTATGATTAGGTAGCTAGTTCTACGTTTGGCACTAATATATCCATCTGTCATGTTTGAATAATAATTGCCATGTTGTAAATATTTGTAGAAACTATGGACACCGCCCTAGACGAAGCAAAAGAAGTGTTGTTGAGGGACATAATCGCAGAAGGAAGTGATGCCGTCTCGTTGTTTCTCAACGAAACCGATGGTCTGGAAGGAGAGGGTGAACAAGCTGGCTACGGTGACCTAATGCCGGTGCAAGAAGAAGAACACGAGGACGACTCCGGTGACCCAATGTCGGTGCAAGAAGGAGACCGTGATGACGGCTCTCGTGACCAAACCGAGTCCGGCCAGGTATATATATTAGTTAAGCCTATTCTGACTAGTTGATTGATGCATTCATTGTTTTGGTATGTACACATATTAATTAAGTCTTTGTTCTTTTTTCTAGCCCTCCGGATCGAGCACAACTTCGGTAAAGAGACGAGGCCCGAAGAAAAAGTTGAGCTCGGATGAAAAGTTTGAGATCATAGCAATCGCGCCCGACGGCCAACCTATTGAACCCCTCAGGACAAAGAGCGCATTTGTTGCTCAGTGCGGGGTTCTGGTTAGGGACAAGATCCCGATAAGCATCCAGCAATGGTTTAAGCCGGCTACAGAAGACCCTGAGGTGTCTTATGTCAATGATATGCAGAAAAATGATCTTTGGACTGAGCTGAAGTCAAATTTCACCCTACCGCCAGAGGATAATCCAGAGAACCCAGTTAAAGGGAAATTAATGAAGTCTTTTGCTCTGAAGAGGATGGCAGAACTATTCAGGAGGTGGAAGAAAGAGCTGAATAAGTTTGTCAAAAATAATGAGACACCAGAATTCAAGGGCAGATATGAGAAGATCAGAGATCACTGGCCCGCATTTGTGGCCCACAAGACATCGGAAAAGAGTAAGAAGATGTCGGCGACAAACAAGCAAAATGCTGCGAAGAAGAAGCTTCACCATCACACGGGGTCAGGTGGCTACCTCGTAGCCCGGCCTAAGTGGTCCAAGACTGAGAATGATCTGGTTCATAAAGGGATCGAACCAGAGACAATTAACTGGCCAGACCGTTGCCGGACTTGGTTCTTCGGGGCTGGCGGAACCTTGGACCCTGTAACAGGGAAGTGCATTTGGACGAACGATCAAATGGACATACCAGTCAGTAAGCTTAAGCAATATATCGAAGCAGCGCAGGAAGGGACGTTCTTTCTAGATAGAGAGAACGACGAGCTCACAATGGCCCTCAGGAATCCTGAGCACCCTGGACGGACACGAGGCACGCCAGGCTCCATTCCGTGGAAGGTTGGGTTTCCGGACGCAGGCGGTTACAAATCCCATGAGAGGAGGAAAAAAGTGCAGCAGACCCAAATGCAGGCGCTGCAAGCAAGGGTAGACGCGATAGAGGAACGAGAAGCAAATCGCAGCAAACGTACTGCCGAAGCTTCCCCCGAAGCTACCCCGCCATCTCAGCGCAGAAGCAGCGTGGCTTCCACCGAGCTGCTTCAGCCGGAGCATGCCTTGACGGCTCCTGCCAACTATCCCGTGGATGCTATCACGGAGTCTCAAAATTGCCACCTTATGACGCAATGGATGAATTTGAAGGTCAAGGCGGCTATTGGCTCTGTTTATCCTACTGAACCCGGCGCAACTTTTCACTGCCGGCCGATTCCAGAAGGATATGCTAGGGTGATGGTGGATGAAATAACGGAGGGATTTGAGGACCACCAGCTTGACCACCCTACCGGTGAAGGGGAGACTCGGCTGGGGTCTGCTCTGAAAACTCCATGCCTATGGCGGAAGGAGCTCATCAACCTTCCGAACTGGACGCCTCCGCTTCCTCCTCCTCCTCCGGCGAGTCAGGGCACTCCGCCTCCTCCACCGCCTCCTCCTCCGGCGAGTGACGATCAGGGCCCTCGGCCGGCTCCTTCTCCGGCGCGTGGCGGCACTCCGCCTCCTTCTCCGCCTGCGCCGACGCGCCCGAGCAGCCAACCTCCTCCTTCTCCGCCTCGTCAGCAAGGGCGAAAGAGACCTGCCGCCGCTCCAACTGCTCCGGCGCATCATAGTCCTTCTCCTCCACCTCGTAAGCAAGTAAAGAAGACAACCGCTCCGTCTGCTCGGTCGGCGTCTAGAAGTACAACCAGAGGCGGGAGGACATACAGATTCGGTCCTTCTCTGAAGACTCTAGAGAAGTTACCATACGAGAGGACCCCGGAGGAGAACGCGAAGATCGCGCGAACAGAAGTGGATGACTGGTTTCAAGGGTTGAAAGCAAAGAGACATCCACCTCCGGAGGAGAAGGTAGATCCGGTGAAAGTGAAGCGCACTCCGGCTGCCCTGGAAAACCACCCAAGACTCCGCCGAAAGGCAACTATGAGTGCATTATTGCAAAGACATGGGCCGAAGCGGAGCGGTCGGGAAGTACAGTCAGTGATCAAAGGCTGAAAGAATGACGAGCAGCTGGGAAACAAATTGCCCAGCTCGGCGATCAAGCGAAGCAATCGTGCCCCCCCCCCCCTCAACGTGCCTAGCGACATCGTCGATCCGAGGATGGTGCCCGGTTATGGCAATGTTGACGATTACCTGCCCGACGATGTACATTATGATACCATGGAGGTGCAGATACACAGATGATGCGGGAAGAAGAAAAATCTTTAACAACGATGATGCAAAGATTACATGATTGGTACTTGAAAATCTGCAGAGAGTCTGGGGGGAGGAGTACTTTGTATGCGAGAGTTAAACCGGAGCATGACCTCGTTGGAATTGAACTGTTGCCTATTCCATTTGAGGAGTTCTATCAGTTTTTCAATCAATTGGCCCTCGATAAAACAACGATCACCTGCTACTGTCTGTAAGTACTACTACTTCTGTCATTAAGTCTCTCTATATAGCTCATCTCTTTCATTGCATGTATTTATAATTATCCTCACTATATTATGCAGAATGAAGATCGCCGAATTGAAGAAAAAACAAATCGGTGATATTGGGTTCGTTAACACATATCTCATAGATGCAACTGAGGTTGAACATCGTCCCGGAGATACCGAGGCCAACTTGCTACGATCATTCAAAAAAATGAAAACAAAGATATAATACTCTTTCCTTACAACTTCAAGTGAGTGTTACTGTCTTGTGCATATTCGGTTTCCCTTATATATTAGTCCAGGTTATAGTAATGTAATTGATAAGTTATGCATGCGTGTGCAGTTTCCACTATATTCTCCTAGAGATTAGGCTTGAGCAGGGAGTAGTAACCGTCTTGGACTCTAAACAAAAAGATCCCCAGGAGTATGCAGACATGACTGAAATCCTCAAGAAGTAAGTTAAATCGATCATTATGCACCATATCAGCAACTTTGTTCATTTCCTGATATCATGTAATTGTTTTCTTTGTTCGGCAGGGTTTGGAGAAAATTCACCAGAAAAGTTCCGGGACTGCCGAAGGAGCTGGAATTTAGACACCCAAAAGTAAGTACTATAGTACCATGTTCCGCGCATCTCCTAGTGATTCAAGCGCTAGTTTCATCAATACCATTTAACATTCTTGCTTATCAGTTTGATTGACCTCTATTTCTTGTAAAGTGGTTGTGGCAGGAACAAGGGAATGATTTCTGTGGATACTACGTCTGCGAGTCCATCCGCCACACGACCTGTGAGCGGGGCGGGTACTCTGACGAACAATATGAAGTATGTAAATAACAACATTCACAATTTTATTTTATTACCATCATTTGTATTGAGTTTCATTTATTCATATATATATGTATTGACCCCCTTCTTCAAATTAGATGTTTTGGAAGCGGGATGAACTCCTAGCACCAGCTCGCATGCGAGCAATTCAAGAGGAATTGGCGGCATTCTTTCTTGACCAAGTGATCGCTGAAGACGGAGAATACTATGTGGACCATGAGTCCGTATGATTATATTTGTAAGAGATAATTATTGTATATATGTAGCCGGTAGTGTCGGATAGATATACGAGAACTTGTTGTTCGACCAATCTCTCGGAGAAGGAGAGGTGGTCGATATCACTTCTCTCTGTATGCGTATATGTTCATGACGATCTTCTGTTTCCTTCGTTTGCTTACTAGCTAACTAGCGTGTCTAGTCCTCTCTATACGTATGTATAGTACGTAGCATCGACCAAGCACGGACGTAAGAGAGGACACTTCTCTCTATTAATTATAGCTAGCTAACACAATATATGAAACACCTAAATTAACCCCCCAAAACCCCCAACCCCCCTCCTCCCCCTTTCAAAAAAAAAAACAAAAACCCCAGCCACAGAAATGCTGACGCGTGGATGCCTATTGGTCCCGGTTGGTGCCACCAAGCGGGACCAAAGGGTCTCCTGACTGGGCTCTGCGCACTGCCCACGTGGAGGCCCATCAGTCCCGGTTCTGGATTGAACCGGGACTAAAGGGTCGGGGCATTAGTACCGACACTTTAGTCCCGGTTCAGGAACCGGGACTAAAGGCCCTTTCGAACCGGGACTATAGGCCCTTTTTCTACCCGTTTGACTTTTTCTGTCACAAAAGAAACCAATAATAAGAGCTCTTTTAGGTACAAGAGTTTAAATACAATTCATAGGAGGAGCTATATCTTAACATATGCTTAATGTGTATATATGGTATAGCTTAAAATGCAGTAATGCATCGGGAGAACCATTATTGCGTTGTATCATCACACAAAATATGCCTTAGTAATTTTCAAAGACGTGCAATGAAAGTGGGAAACTGTATCGTGATACATAAGTTGAAAGCTGATGCCTTCATATCTTTGTGTCCACTGTTTCTTGAGTACGTATTCTTCAGGTTTGTCGTGTGGTGCGCACGCTGGATAACCCAAACTTGGCGATGCTGTGGATGTGATTGAACTCGCGGTATGTGACACCACGGTACCGCGGTGGGTTTTCGTCGCTAAGGAACTCCTCCGCGGGAGCGATGAGGCAGTCTTTGGTAGGAGTGATGCATGTCCCTAACGACATGCGTGGCAGTGTCGCGTTGGTCACCACCCGGTGCTCGATGCTCTTAAGCATGCCGTTGGTCACGACCTGCAATGACAACGTACAGTAGTAGGCTAGTAGCAAACTAGCAATCGATCAAAACTTTCTCACGAAGTGAAAGATTAATTATTAGGTATGTAGTACGTACCTCGAGCGGAAGGCCAAAGTTGACGATGAAGGCGTTGGGCAGGGGCTCGACGTTCATCCATTTGCCATTGTGGGAGATTTGAAGGCCAGGAACTGCGCTGGGGAGGAGGAGACTGAGGAGGTTCCTATCGCAGTGTGGCGGTAGACCAATCATTGTGGTCGGGTCTGGACATGCTGGGTAGTGGTTGAGGGTGACGATCACATCGGCGCCGCCGAGGTCCCCCTCAAAATAGTCAGGCCGGAGCCCCATGGCCTCGCACAGTAGCCGTAGCAGCTCCATCCCCACGTCTCTAGTCAGCATGGTATACTTCTTGATAACCTCTCTGCGTGCACAACATACGTCTCAAATGAATCAGGTCAAACAAATTCTTTCTTGGAACTTAAATAAATCATAATCAAAGTGCGCACGGTTAAATCTGATCGTGATATAATAATTTACCTGAGGTTTGGAGGCTTATGGGGCCAGTTGTTCTTGCTGTCGCCGACGGGGATGCTGCAACCGAGGCGGAGACAGTCCATCCAGTACTTGTTGCCGCCGGTCTCATAGGTGCTGCCGGAGAAGTATCGGTTGGTCATGTTATTGTCCCCCGAGTAGAAGGCGGCCTTGTCCGCTGCGGGCAGCGCAAAAAACTCACGGCACACCGCCTCCATGTTCCGCATCGCCTCCTCAGGCACGCTATGGTTGATCACCTGCTTTATTTTGTTGTTGTTTAATTACCCTTATGGAGTATAATCTTCTGCGTGCGAACCTACCTTAATAATTAATTAATTATGCAAGAAAAAGAAAAAAAATGGATTGACAAAGCCAACATATATACAAGATGAAAACTAGGATACTGGCCTAGAAAAAGCCCATCTCCTTGCCGGCGTCGAGGATGGAGCGGCCGCACTCATCGCGGCCACGGGAGAGGTCGATAACTGGCAGGGAGACTCCTCCGTCCGGGAGCGCTGCGCACAGATCACCCATGGTACAATCGATCGGCAGAGGAGTCGCGTTTTTGATACTGATATGATATGATGGTGCGAGAGAGTTTCAGTTCCATTTTAATACGCACGCGTGCATGCGGAGGAGTGCTTGGCCACGTTGATCACCACGTTTGAGAAAAGTACACGACGACGGTCGATTATTGTCCCGAGAGTTCGATCGGTTTCATATGTACGTAAGTCACATGGCTATGAAAATCGATCTCCTAGCTTTTTGTTCTCCCGCAAAAAAAAAGCAAGCTTTTTGTTCCATCAGAAATAACCATCATCGGTTCTCAAGAAAATAAAAAATAAACCCCATCGTCAGTTCCCGTGAACCTACATATTCCAGCTTTGTGGAGAGCTTCGATACGGCAAGGAAGTCACGCTAGAGTTTTCCGCATCTTGACGTTTCAATCCCGTTGGAAAAGCTCTTGTCCCCTAGCTTTCACTATGTTCATTTCACGGCTGATCCGTCGACACGCGGTAACAAACCAGTTGCGTACGCCGGCCCATTAGGAATCCATTGCGGCATATGATTTGACGCTCTGGTAAAAAAGAAAACAATGCTGTTTTCCGTCTTGACAACTGTCACGGTTTGTTGTGTTCTTGCTTTCGTTTTTTAATATATTTTTAATCTATTCATCTTCAATCATGTTAGTATAACGAACCCTAGTAATAATAAAAATTAGACAGGACTAACTACTGAACGGTATGATTATAATCAACAGATCCGAACGACTGCTATTCTTACTCATATTCCCAGCCATCGGTATTTCAACACACAATGCATGAGGAATGAAGGAAGAAAGCAGTTCTACTCAGATGAACGATTCATGGAACTGTTTGACAACACAAGGGTGCAACATGTTCAAACCACAGAATCCGATCATTGTGCCCTTCTGATTGTGGTTAAGCAATCGGAATGGACGGATGCTGCTGCTATGGAGCGTCCTTTCAAATACGAGAATGCCTGGACGCGACATCAGAATTATGAAAAGGTAGTACAGGAAAGCTGGCATGGTGGTGTGACTGACTTAGCTTCAGCACACTATGCGTTGGGGGCTGTGAAAACAAAACTACGACAATGGAGTAAAGATGAATTTGGCTCTGTTACCAAACAATTGAAAGTGATGCGTGAACGACTAGAGCAACTCAGAGCAGACTCGTTGTATATGGGTCCAAATGGAGAGGAGAAAAGCCTTATGAGAAGGATTTCGGAATTACTTTCTCGAGAGGAAGTGATGGCCAGGCAACGTGCACGCACTGAATATCTTAAGTACGGAGATCGCAACACCGGATTCTTCCATGCCAGGGCCAAAGAAAGATTCCGGTCAAACAAAATTAAAGCTCTCAAAGACAGTAATGGGGTCGTGAAAACCTCCCACGCTGATCTCGAGGTTTTGGCTAGGGAGTTCTACACAGAACTGTTCACAGCTCAAGATGATACGATACCAGAGGTTGTCACAGATTGGGTACCTGCTAATGTGACGCATGAGATGAATTACTGGCTTGATGCACGGGTGTCTGACTCGGAAATTGAACATGCGCTATTCAGTATGCACCCTAGTAAATCTCCGGGACCTGACGGGTTAACTGCTTGTTTTTATATACGCCACTGGGGTATGTTAAAAGAAGCAATATGTAAGGCAGTGCGTAATTTTTTGGAAGGAGGGGATATGCCTGATGAGGTGAACAACACGGTTCTTGTATTAATCCCTAAGGTAAAATCGCCACAAGATCTGAGTCAATTCAGACCAATAGCACTTTGTAATGTTCTGTATAAGATAGCGTCTAAAGTGCTTGCTTTAAGACTTCGGCCAATTCTAGATGAGATTATCTCGGAGGAACAAAGTGCATTCGTTCCGGGGCATTTAATCATGGATAATGTACTGATTGCCTACGAGCACATTCACTACCTGAAGAGGAAGAAGGGTAAAGGTGGGGCCTGTGCAATTAAGGTGGATATGGCCAAGGCATATGACAGGATAGAGTGGTCAGACTTAAGAGGTGTTATGAAGAAACTAGGATTTTCTCAGAGGTGGATAGGCCGGGTAATGGCATGTGTGCAAACCGTCTCTTTTTCAGTTCGAGTTAACGGGCAATTCTCTGATTTTTTCAGGCCAACCAGAGGTATTCGCCAGGGTGACCCTTTGTCACCATATCTTTTTTTGCTTTGTGCAGAGGGGCTAAGCAGTTTGCTAAAATTCAGAGGGCAGGAACATCTCGCAAAAGGAATAAGGGTGGGGACTCAAGCTCCTTGGGTGTCCCACTTACTTTTTGCAGATGATTGTCTCATTTTCTCCCAGGCCACGGATCAGGGAGCACAAAGATTACAGGAAATATTGGAACTCTACAGAGTGGGCTCGGGACAGATGGTAAACAAGGCAAAATCGGCCATTTTCTTCAGTGCAAATTGTTCAAATGATGTTAAGACGGTGATTCATGATACTATGGAAATACAAGCTGAAGCTTTGGCCGAGAAATATTTGGGACTCCCTACTGCTTTGGGTCGATCGACAGAGGATAATTTTGATCATATTGCAACGTCTATCAAGAAATTGGTTAATGGGTGGGCCCCTAAGCTGATGAATAGTGCGGCTAGGGAAGTCCTGGTCAAGTCGATCTGCCAGGCAATCCCCACATATTGTATGAGTTGCTTTAAGTTGTCAAAGAAAACTTGCAAGAAGATTGTTAGTATTATTGCAAGGTACTGGTGGGGAGGTGATGAACACAGTAGGAAAATGCATTGGCGCAAATGGCAGGACATAGCTATCCCCAAGTGTGTGGGAGGTATGGGATTCAGGGACTTCCATCTTTTCAATCAGGCAATGCTTGCCAAGCAAGGATGGAGGCTCATAACTAATCCAGAATCATTATGTGCGAGAGTGCTTCGCGGGAAATATTTTCACGGGAAAGAGTTCATGTCTGCATCAAAAAGGAGAGGTTCTTCTCACACTTGGCGGGCTATTCTGTTTGGAAGGGAAGCTCTCAATCTAGGCTTAATCAAGAGGATGGGAGAAGGGGACACAATCAATGTCTGGGTGGATCCATGGATCCCAGGAAATTTCAGGTACAAAACGATAGTAAAACCCCCGCTTACAATGATCACAAAAGCAAGTGAGCTCCTCGAGGAGGATAACCGCAACCGGGACATTCAAACTGTCAAAACTAATTTTGCACAGATTGATGCCGAGGCTATTCTAAAGATCCCAATAATGATGGGAGAGGACTTCTGGGCATGGCAACCGGATAAGCGAGGTCATTTCTCAGTACGATCAGCATATAAACAACTGATTGAATTCCATGGAAGATCAGGTGAGCTGGATCTTAGCGCTAAGCAGGCTAGTGAGGTACGCAGGAGGTGTCTCTGGATAAACTTTATTCCAGAATTCCTCCGCGATTTAATTGCCTGCGAGTGTATTACCCATGAGTAATCAATAAAGCTCCGACTTCCAAAAAAAACTCAGATGATTAGAGTATGCATGCATGCATGCGAGACGAAATAGCTGATGTCAGCAATGATTCCATTCAAATTCAGAATTCAAAATGTTTTGTAGCTCAAACCGTTGCTCAGATTCAAAATTTGTTTTCAGGTAAAAATTTCGCCGCGACGGGATCTTCAAAACTAGATCCCATGTTGGTATGTTTCGACAACTCTTTTTTTCACGTCAAAAGTTACCACACCTAGACTACATAACATATCATGTCTGCACTATGTAACTTATCATGTGACCGGGGATATGTTTCGACTACTTTTTTGTTTGGGCCAAAAATTACCATGCTATTTTCAAGTTAATTATCAGGTCTACAATACCCCCTTCAAACATCGCTGTCGTGCCTAGGCCGCAAGGTGAGGTCCATGTGCAGACACGGTAAGGCCGCAAGGTAAGGCTTGTATCGGGCCAGATCCGTTTAGGCGTGTGCCGGGCCGGGTCGATACCAGGGCGCTCTGTTAGCCACCTATGATCAGTTCTGTGATGCATTAGAACACCATGCTATCTACGTAGAAGTTATTGGGGATATGTTTTTCAACAACTCCGTTTCCCGGGTCAAAGTTATTGCGGGTGCTTGTACATAAGTTATCAAGTAAGCGGTTGCATATTATCATGTCCACAAAAGTTGTCAGAGTTATGTTTTCAAAAAAAAAATTCCTAGTCAAAGTTATCACGGTATTTGTACGTGAGTTATCAGCTCTATTGTGCGTGTATCTTCATGCTATTTACACAGAAGTTATTGTACCATATGTATGTGAGTTATCACCTTTGTTCTTTTTATATTACCACGTTATTTACACACAATTTACTGGGCTACACTATTTAATGTTTTTTCAGGTAAAGAAGTTACCATGGTGATTGTACGTGAGTTATCAACATGTTGTGCGTATATTATCATATTATTTGCACATGAGTTATCATCTATGTATATTGTATGTTTTTCCCGCGTGTGCAGCATAGACGTGGGCTTGGCCTTCCGAAATGTAAACCTGGTCTTCAATGCATGCTTGTAGTACATAGGCACTCCTTTTTGCTTTTGCCATGGATCACGTACAAGGATAGGCATGCATGCATGCATGCTCTAGTCCCTTCTATGCACATATATTCTTCTCTGTATCCTGCACTCAAGAAAAAAAAATCTTCTACAATAAAAAAAAAGTTAACCACGCGCGGGTTAGTCATCTAGAAGCAGAAAAATTC